TACCTAAACAAATGATTCTGCATTTTGGGCGTACAGCTCAGAAATCATGTGTTTATGAACCTCCCCCAGGGGGTTTTCCTAGGCAGACCAACTTAGAAACCTTTCAAAAAATTTTATTTATTTATTATTTTTATTTTATGTGTATGAGTAAACTGTCTGCATGTAGAGTAGGTGCACACTTGTCATGCAATGCCCAAGGAGATCATAAGAGGGTGTCAGATCCCCTAGAACTGGAGTTAGGATAGTTGTTAGCTGTCATGTGGGTGCTGGGTCCTCTGCAAGAGCAGCCAGTGGTCTTAACCACTCTAGTCCCTCTGTGCTAGCTTTTAAAAGAACTTACTACACAGGCATGATAATACATATGATGATACACATATCTCATAACACTTTAACAGTCTAAGTAAGAGAACAGCAAGCCAGACTGGGCTACAGAGACCCTGTCTCAAAACAAAAACCCAACCAAGGCCAGAAAGAGACCTCAGTGGGTAAAGGCACTTGCCACCAAGCCTGGTGATCTGAGTTCCCTCCCCAGGACCCACAAGGTGGAAGGAAAACTGGCTACAAGTTGTCTTCAGGCCTGTACATGTGCCACATACCATCAAAATAAATAAATGTCAGCAAAACAAAGCAAATGCAACAGAAGGAACCATCGATCAAATAAAAACTTCCCTCCCAGGCCTGGCAAGATGGCTCAGTAGGTAAGGATACTTGCCACCAAATCTGATGACCTGCATTTGATCCCTGTGACCCACATGATCCTGCAAGTCTCATCTGGTCTCCAAAAGTGTGCCATATACAAACATATAAATAAAAAATAAATAAATGTAATTTAAAATCTTTTTTAATGTTTAAGTAACTATGTTACTAATTATCATTAGAACTTTGTTCACTATACATTCATCTAAATATCACCCATGGTCCATTAAGATAAACCACTTAAAAATTACCTCTTTACCAAATTTTGCAAATAAAGTAAAGCAAGAGTACTTTTCTGGATCTTCAGGAGAGTGCTTCGGACTCTTTGGGCTAACTCCCTGTCAAGTAGAATAGCAAATTAGTATACAAAGCAATTCCACATCCTATCCCACAGTTCTCAATTTTCCTCCAGAGGAAACCCACTTCATGTTACCAAAGTCTAGTGTGGAGAGGGAGGGCATATCCCAGCATAACCCAGGTGGAAACGGAGGAGGTGTTAGGTTTCTTGGCTGGGCAAAGGCCAAGATCATGGCTAACTCCATCCCTTCCTCACCTTCCAATAAGATACACCTTTGCTACACACCAGGTTCCTGTGTGACCAGGAGCTTCAGCAGTGCATCTCCAGCCATTCCCAAACTTAATGACACTAGGTCATTGTAATACAGACATGTGTGCCCATCCTGAAGTGTTTCTGATTAGCACAGACCTGAGACTTCAGAATGCTCTGGTCTCAGGATCACTTTGAAAAGCTGCTAATTGGGGCTGAAAAGATGGCTCCTCAGTTAAGAGCACTGACTGCTCTTGCAGAAGACCCGGGTTCGATTCTCAACACCCACTGGAACAGTCCTTAACTCCAGTTCCAGGGGAATCCAAAGCCCTCTTCTGACCTCCGTGGCATTGCACAACATGGGTGCACTCACATACAAGCAGGCAATGCACTCATACACATAAAAACTAAAAATAGTAAATAAAATATTAAAAAAAAACTAAAAAAGAACCTACTGCA